AAGACTTTGTACTTGTAAGAGTGGAGACGTGTTCTAGCGCAATCTTCATTTGATAATATAAGTTTGCTTTGAAATATTCGTGTGCTTTGAAATTGTTTACACTGTATATTAATTTATTCAGTGCTTTAGTTGTTTTACACGTACTCTACTTAATGATTACACAATCAGATAATATTGTAAGTTTACTTGTTGTATATAGAAGGTTGGCTTCACTAGGCGTATAGTCATAATCAAGTGAGGTGCTGAAATTTGGGTAACTAAATTAGCCAAAATTGTGTGTACACATAACACAAAAGATGTGTATATATAAGGTAAAGTATTGTGAACATTAATTGCAAAATAATACTACTACATAAGTAGCAAATGACAAAGAAAGTAATGTTCAAGTGTCATGAAATGGGCTTAGCTGTCGGCAAAAAAAGAATAACCAAACAGTGTTAGTGTATGGGCCCATTCAAAGCCTGTTCACAAATTAGGGGTCTGCACTCGGACAAATTTTCATTTGAGAACGCCGAAAGTGTCACTACTGTCGATAATATATACAAATCTATTAATTGCTCAATGATGTTTACATCTTATCTTAGCTATTAGTAACAGTGCCTGGCTTGCTCCGGATTTTCGGGTAGGATATTTTTTTTTTTGGTACATAGAAAGAGGCGAAAACCACTGGGCTAACACTCTACGGGGTAAGACACCCCTATATTATTCGGGTAGAATTTTAACTATATGTTTTACAACTTGAATTGTTATGCCCGACATATTAATATTTATTCATATTCATTTAAATTTTTTGAAAACGTGTTGAGTCTAAGTGGCAGACTCGCATGCTTCGGGATTCTATGTGGCAAAATTACATGTTTCGTTATTAGACTTGAGTAGATTTTAAATTCCAATCCAAATATAACTAGATTCAGATTATCCATAAATATGTTAATTGTTTATGGTCATGTTACATGTATCAGTTGTATTTTAATATTATTTTTTATTATAATAACTATTGTATTTTAAATGTATTTTAAAAGTTAATAATTTTTGTATTTTTTTTTATTAAATATACATATATAATTATATCAAGTTAATCATCTGTTGATGAGTTTCGATTTAACATCCATATTAAATGTATAAAAAAATAAATAATATTTTTTCTTAACAATAATAAAATTGTTTTTAATATTAATTAGAAAAATAAAATAATTTATCAATTAATCTATTTATATTTCAGGTAGTTATATCATATAAAAATATAACACATATAAGTTACAAGTAACAAGTGTCATTCTAAAATATATAATAATATATATTTTTTTTTTGTAAAAAAATATAAAATTTAATAATAATTTTTTAACAAGCACACGTGTAATACACGGGTGTTGTACAAATATTGTTAACGTTTAAATGCTACATTTTTTATTTATGTACGTTTTTTAAGCAAGTTAATTGTATAATGTATAAGAAACGACTGCAGGAGACTAACGGTTAGACCTGTCTAACGTCATCCATACTGATTTTGCACAAACTCATTTGAGTGCGTCAATTTATAGTTGACACACTCAACTTCGAAAAATTATTTATCTAAGGGGATGTAATTATTCGGGATTTTTGAACAACATTTTGAGATTTTTTTATCTTCTGAAATCTCGTTAACTCTTAAAAAATTCTAACAAATTTCAATGTCAAATAAAGTTAAATACTTCTATAGTAAGTCTTTTTAAAATCCCAAATGAATATCTCCATATTTTAAAAAAGTCTTACAAAATCTGAATAAAATACACCAAAATTTCTAAAATCTTGAAAATTCTTTAAAAATCTCAAACGAATATAACCCTTTGTTTTATTTTCCGAGGTTTTATCCATGTGGTTTACAGTTTCTTGTAGTTTTTGATATTTATTGCGATAAATAACCTATTAAATGCGGATATATATAAAAATGTTCAGTGTGTTGATAACCAGTAATTACAGTCAGTTACTACTCATAACTAACTGGACATATAAAGAAGGGATTTATGTTTTATGTGTAGATTTTTATTTTTCTTATGTTTTTGTTAGGTTTATATATTTATGTTTTTCATCTATTTTTCTTGTGTGTTGTACTTTTTGTCTAATGAATGATAATTCATATTTCACATTATCAAACCGAATAAAATATTAGTGTGAAATAAATTAGAACAATTGATCTTTATCATTTAATCTTCCTAATTCTCGTTTACTTATCAGGTTAGGATGAGATGACATTCCTTAATCAACTTTATTCGATGTCTGCTAACCGGAATCAGGATTGGGACAAATTCTACATGGCATGTATGTGGCAAGTGGGCACATGGTTGTACTCGTGACTGGCGGGATAATTATATCGCATGTATAATGTCGATTATAATACCCTTGAATGTCTAAATAATTACATATTTAGTAAAGTTGACTTTTGGGACAAAAGTTGACTCGTGATAAGTTTACCTTATGGGGTGTTCCGATTTCTATGTTCGTGTCGTGTTTTTTTGTTGACCTATTTGTTATACTAGTGTACACCTCGTGCGATGCACGGGAACAATATTAAATTAACA